TAAAGAGAAGATATCCCATACCAACAACCAAGCTTTAATAAGGATTTTAGCTCGCGCCCACTTAGAAAATGGAGATTCTCGGACGGGGTTCCAACCGAATAGAGCACTCGACATCTCTAAAACAACACCAAGAACAAATACTATGCCCTCCCCGGGAGAAAGTAGTGATGATTGCCATGAATGCTGCCCTCAAGGACGTGGTTAGTGGCTTATTGGCCAAGATTGCCGAGGTCGCAATCGAGCATATCCCCAGGTCGGAGAACCGTTGGGCCGACGAACTGGCGCAAAACGGTCATGCAGCGCGTTGGGGGATTAATTGTGCGGTGGGGGAAGATTCCGATCAGGAGGTGAATAGTGCAGACTGGAGAACAGAGATCAAGAATTATTTGAGGAACCCAGACACCTCAGTACCAGTCAGTATTCGTCTGAAAGCCCTACGCTTTCGTCTAATCGGTGAATCCTTATATAAAAGGACATTGGAGGATGTTCTTCTCCGATGCCTGGGACCCGAAGAGTCGGTAGCTGTCATGCATGAAGTCCATGGCGGGATCTGCGGCGCCCATCGGGCAGGTTTGAATATGAGATGGGCTATTCATCGTTTGGGATACTTTTGGCCTAAAATATTCGAGGATTGCATAAGGTTTGCTAAAGGATGCGAAGAATGCCAAAGACATGGGCCGTTGAATCATTTGCCCGGTGTGGAATTACAGGCGATGATTAAGCCATGGCCATTCAAAGCTTGGGCCATGGATATCATCGGGAAGATTCACCCGTCATCATCCAAGCATCATTGCTTTATTTTGGTGGCAACAGATTACTTCACCAAGTGGGTGGAAGCAATTCCTTTAAAGAACGCAACCCAGCAGGAAGTGATTGATTTTGTTCGGGAACATATTATTTTCCGCTATGGGATTCCGCACACTATTGTGACAGATCAGGGGCTCATGTTCACTGGGGAAAGGTTCGTGGAATTTTTGGCAGAATTCAATATTAAGTTACATCATTCCTCGCCGTACTATCCACAGGCGAATGGGCAAGCCGAGGCCGCAAACAAGATCATCATCAATATTATCAAGAAAATGGTTAGCGATAATCCGAGGAGGTGGCACGCGTTGCTGCCACAGGCTTTGTGGGCGCATCGAAACAGCCGGAATTCGGCTACCGGGTTTTCACCATATCAGCTTACTTTCGGGCAGGATGCAGTCTTACCAGCTGAAGTTAGAATAACTTCTGCCCGAACGGCTTTGACCAAAGTTGATAACGAAAATAATGTGAGACAAAGGATGCTTCAGCAACTAGAGGAGTTGGACGTGTCTCGAATGGAAGCTATCGATCGTATGTATTTGGAAAGCCAGACTCGAATGAAATATTCAAAAAAAAGGGTTAGTGCAAGGAAATTCAAGGAAGGAGACATGGTATGGAAGACTATCTTACCGACCTACAAGAAGACGGATCAACTAGGGAAATGGTCCCCTAATTGGGAAGGACCTTATATAGTCCATAAAGAGATTGGAAAGGGAGTCTTTATTATCATTGATCAAAATGGAAAATCAGTACATGATTGCATTAACGCAAAATACTTGAAAAGGTATTACCCTGCCTTTTCAAGGCTCAGGGCCGACTGAACGGTCACTTTATTTCCGAACCCAGCAGGGGGTTCGAGGCTATGCAGAACCTGAACTAGTCTTCATCAGGAATGGTGATGCAGGGGGTATCCTCGTCATCATCGGAATCTGGGGCCCAGGGCCCGACGGTTATTGGGGGATCTTCGTCCAGGAGATCATTCAGTTCGGGAAGATACCTTTCCCATTGTTCCTGCATTTCCTCAAGGGTTCTTTCGGTCCTTTTCTTCATATCATCCAGGGTCTGGCGTTCTCTATCAATGAGCACCCGCAAGCGGGTGAAAGCTGCCCTTTGCTGAGAAAACTCGCTTACCCAGCTGAGATCCGGTAGGACGGCCATGACATGGTGTTCGATCAGGTCCATGTGGTGTTCAAGATCGGGAAAGCGACTGAGCATGTCTTTGGAGGGTTCGTAACTCTCGATAACCCGTTGCATCAGACGGGTAGTTCGGTGTAAGGTACGTCGTCCTCTCTGAGAAAATTGGAATTTGAAATCAAGTTGTTTTAGCACCTGTAGTAGGTCTTCTGCATCAACAGAGACAGGGTGCTGCCCAATCAAGAAGGTTTGGAGAACACTTTCCCAGTTCCTAATCGGGACACGAATGCGGGGTTGTTGAGAGGACATATTAGTCTCTTAGTCTAGGGTTTCCACCTAACAGGTACTGATTGTTAGGATTGAAGGCTGGTTGCCTATTTATTGTGTTAGGTTACCGATGTTTTGGCCTGATTGATGGGTTTGAGATTTCAAGTTCACCAAGTGTTGACGTAAAATGAGGAAAGGCGTAAAAGACGATGTCTATTATAAGTTACGAATTTACAGGGTCATCACATAAGCGAGTTGATCGCGGTCAGTATGTCTGACCATTTCTGGTTTAGCCTGGCCGCCCTCCGTTGAGCAACGGAGGAAGTTCTCTCTGCTCGTTGTTTAGTTCGGCTGGCAATCTCCAGGTCATGGGCAAGGGCTGTCCGGCGGTCTGTTTGGTCTTGCACCATCTGATTTTCATCAGACAGGCACTTGTCCAGTTCAGCCAGCTCCCTTTCTTGCTTTAACAGTTCCTGCTGCAGATATTCGATTTCTCGTTTGTTCCTATCCATGTCTGCAGAGAGCTGTTCCCTGGATAACTGTAGAGTTGTTATTCGTTGTCGCGATCTGCTCAAGGCCGAATCCACGTCTGCCAGAGTGCGATTAATAGAATCGGTCATAGGGGGTTGGGGTTCCTGAGTTGCTGCCGATTGAAGAAGCGGTAAGTCTACGACAACTTCCGACAGTCGCTCGAGAACCTGATCAAGCACTTGGCTAGCAGGGGATCCGGCAGGCTGATCATTCAGCAGACTAAGGAGATTGTCCATTAGTTCATTTAATTCATCTCCAGTCAGGCTGGTCAGCGATCTCCCGACTATCTTGGAGATCGCCTGTCGATTGTCAGCAGAGAGAACGATGGCAGAAAGAGAGGTCAAAAATCCTGGGGCCTGCACAGAAAAAAGAGACTGAATATGACGCAAATATGCTGGTAATGACAGAAATGCAAATTCGGTGACCTGTTCCTGAGCGGCCGTTTGAGCCGAGGGGGCCAAAAACACGGACGGGTCAGGCAGACCTTGGGGTCTTTCTGGGGCCGTCAGCGTACGTGCTGAATCTACAGGGGAAGGAACTGCTGTTTCTTCCCTCGTTCGGGATTGAAAGGCAGCCCTTCCAGTCGGCCCAGTAGAGCGCTCTTCGGGTGCGGACGAAACCGACTCCTGGAAGATTGAGGCAAGTAAAAACCATGGGTGTTTTAGGATATCATAAATGCGATAACTCACCGCATATGACTCTTCGTCTGGAATCGGGTGTTGGGGGGAGAGGGGCTGTTCGGGAGCTTCTTCTGCTCTTGGTGGTCCTGGCCTCTCGATCGGTGCCTCCGCACCCTGATTATCGGCCGATTGGCGGACAGCCCCCGACTCTGCTCTAGAAACTTCGGCTGGCTGAAAGCCGGGCATATAAGTACAACTCAAAGGGGATGTCAGTGATTATTTACAGCCGAAAGTTACCTGAACTATAACCTGGCCTCCGACCTCGGCAGGCAAGTGCTCGGAAACTGGAACGTTGGTGGGCGGCGGTTGCCTCTCGACCCGTGCTTCTAAATTCCGGTCGGTCATTGGTAAATCGGTAGATAAGTGAATTGGGTTTGTCGGCGCGATGGTTGGACTGACGGTCGGGCCAGCTGCAGCTGACATGTGAACAAGGTTAGACATATATATATAAGCAAGATGAAGGGTTCTCTGAAGCGAGGATACCTGCTAAGGCTCGTTGGGCGGCGAGTGTTCGAAATTCGGGGAAGAGTGTCATGTCTACTTGGAGGGAGGCTAAGTAGTCTTCCTTCGCTTTGCGCCGCTCTTCCGAATCCGCCGGCTGGGCCGCCACGGAGGCCTTGGCTTTCTTGTGAGAGGAGCTAGCCCCGCTGGCTTGCACCCCTCGTTGCCGTTTCGGTCGTGGGGGTCCGAGAGCAACCTGCCCCGTCAAGGGTTGCGGCAGTAGAATCAGCTGGGACCCTGATTCGGCGACCGGAGGGAAGAGGATTTTCATACAATCATTAACGGGCCTCCCAACCACGGGCCAAGCCATTTCCGTCCACCATTTTCGGAAGATCGGGACTGAATCAGGACAGTCGCGGAAAGGGGTATAGATATGGTTGATTAGATACTTGGTAAGCTGATCAGTGTAGGGCTTGATGGCGTATTCGGCTACAATGTTTTGAGTGTGGGTTCGGACAAGATGAGGAGTAAAGGTTAAAGCTGGAATTCCCTGGCGACAGCCGAACTGACGCGCCAAGTAATGCGGGTAATAGGGGAAGGCGGAATATGTTTTTTTCATCTTTTCAAGTTTTTTCCCAGCAAAAAGAGACCGAGGCTTTAGGGCCGCCTCCCAGGAATATTTGAAGGTGGGATGCGGAGATTCGGAGGGTGGCTCGTGCGGGAAAGGAATAGAAGGAGGGACATAGAAGGGTGGTGTGGCAAAAGCAGTCAGATGAAAGTAGGGATAATAGTTGGAGTCGGGCATATCGATCTCCAAAATAGCTCTAAGGGTGGTTTCGGGATCTTTGTGGTGTTTGCGGTCAGAACAAAGGAAGAGGACATACTGGCCGAATGATATGTCCGAATCTAAAAGGAGGGGTGGCCGCCCGAAGAAGAGAGAATGAAAGTATAGACGGAACCAAAGCTCCAGGAACCAAACCGGACCGGAGAAAACGGTATCAAGTTTGGTGGAGCTAGATAGTTTCGGGCAGACTTTAGAAAGGCCCTCATAAAGGCTGGCGAGAAACAGAGTGCCGATCGATAAGAATCGGCCTTGAGCCAGGTGAATGGCGATATCGGTGTGGGTATAGGTGATGGATTTAGACGAAGGACAGATCACATATCTGTTATGATTAGAACATAGACGCATAAGAGGGTTGTGCAGTAAGAATCAAGACCAAATTCGGAAAAGAAATACATACCTGCAGAGCCAATATAGTAAAAAGGCAACGTGTTCCTCGTCGGTCACTGGAGTATCTTTCGCCCCGCAGTGTAGCTTTACGAAAGATCCCCAGGCCACTACCCTGTTGCGTGGGGGCGTTTTTATCCCCCATCCGGGGTGGTCGGCTGCTGGTTCCTGACCATTTAGAGTTCCGACCACTGGGTCTTCCCCCACAATCGGGAGGTGGGCGATCATGGAGACGTCCATCAGGGTCGGGCCGATCGGTCCAGCGGGCAGTAGAAACGCACTGACCTCATGGTCCCAGAAAGCGGCTATGGCCAGAATGAATGTTTCTTGAATATTGAAGCTTTGGCAGGACAACAAAATAGCCTTGTCCAGCCCCTGCTGCTTCCATTGCTTCCCAAAGCTTTTCTCTACCCTTGAATACCAGGTACGAAACTCGTCCTTGGGATCTAGGAGATTGGTTTTGATGCCATCCCAGAGACGAGCGGCGTTGAAAGCTCCGTCGTGTATGGCAAGGCGGCGATTATGTTGCAAGAAATTCAGTGTGGGGGCCCCCTCGGCGACGGTGGAGACAAAGGGGCGCACCACCGGAGTAACATTGGAAGATGGGTCCATGGCCAGCGGCGGAGCAGATCCATCAAACGGGATGACAGCGGTGTTGGTCTCCATGGAGGTGCACGTAAATGGTCGAGCTGAGTAAACGATCGTTTTGATTTCACAGGAGATGTTCGGAAGAGGTGAAGAGGAGAGTGATAACAGTGAAGGGGTTTTTTACTTCTCCCTTCCTTTCTACAGTCGTAATGATGGTGGTACAGACCTGGGGCAGAGTACGTCAGACATCATGTCAACAGTCACCGCCTTCGAGATGTGACTCTTGACATTCTCTGGAGGAGGGGCAAGTTGTTGAGTGTAGAAAATGGTGCCTAGGGTTTCGCTTCATGGGCCCATTGGATCAAGGTGGGCCAGTATGGTTAAGTTATGGGATTTGGGTTCGGCCAAATCAGCATAAGGGTCCAATGGCCCGAAAGGTTGTTCGTGTTGTGTTGGGCCGAACGGTTGCAGAATTAAAACCGTGCCGAACGAGTGGTAGGCTACCCGAAAACTGAATGGGTGCATCCTTTGATGGTAACCGACTTCGGTTATTAGAAGTTCAGAGGGTAACCGTCAGGCGGTTACCTGGCCAAATGAAGAACCGAATCCAACTGTCCGAAAAGGTGGCGAATGAAAGGATAAGAAGGGGAAGCAGAGAGAAGGGAATGTTTTAGGTGCCGTTTTTGCCACCAGATCAATAGAGATCCCGAAAAGGATATTGATTTCGGGCCCGAACCAATGGTATTCGGAAACTTTTCACCAAACGAAGTGCGGGACTTGCTGCGATTAAAGCGAGTTCCTCCCAACAGAGAAGACCTGACGGACTCTAAGAAAAATTGTGATCAGGTTGCCCATGCTTTCACAGTGAGAATGTTGGGCATTCACCAAATGGATGAAGAACCAGTATGGGCTCATTTTTCGGACGACCCGATTCCCGAAGAAGAATGGGCTTCGCTGAGCCCATACGAACCGCTCGAGTCAACTCGGGCTATTTTCCCACCGATGCCGGAGGAAGCAATCTCACATCTGAAACCACTCTATGTGGATGCACATATTTATGGGAAACCGGTAAGTAGAGCATTCATTGATAATGGTGCAGTTTTTAACGTTATGCCTTTGAAAACCTTGTACAAACTAGGGAAAAACGAGTCCGATCTCACACCGGTCGATATTGAGATGACCAGCTTCACTGGCCAGCCGACCAAGCCGAAAGGCATGATGGTTGCTCCTATAGAGGTGGGCCCGAAGACTATTTCTACCGTATTTTTTGTGGTGGAAGCGGACACCACCTATTCGGTTCTGCTGGGAAGAGATTGGATCCATGCGTCTCAGTGTGTGCCGTCTTCGCTTCATCAGCAGCTGATGTTTTGGGACGGTAATCGAGTTCTCACCATGGAAGCTAGCAAAAGCCCCTTTCGACCTTCGGACGCTTTTGAAGAAGCCGCTTTTTACACAGGAAATTTTCCACCCATTTCTCAAGCAACGTCGGTAAATGACTACCCATGGAAGAGCTTTAAGCTTACCAGTCACGGGTATATGTTCTCTTAGAGAGAACAGCTTTTAATGGCTAACGAAAGCCAAACCAAAATCTTTTCCTTTTTAAAGATTTAATGAGTTGTTCGGATACTACGGAACATGACGGAACTTGCAGACTTTTCTTTGAACAATTAATGTTCAAGCTAAGGAATTCAACGGCATGGTTTGATATTCAAAACCAGAATGGACACTTTGAATGGCCGGATCTTCTAAAGAAAAAGGAGTCAACTCTAACGGCTCAGGATCCACTGGAGGAATTGAATCTGGGATCGGAAGAAGCCCCACGAATCATTCGTATCAGCAGGCTTTTGTCGCGAACTCAGCAGGGTTTTCTTGTGGCTTTGGTTCGAAAGTACATAGAATGCCTAGCTTGGGACTATACGGAAATGCCAGGACTGGATCGAGGCTTAATCGAGCATCGGCTTCCCATTCGGGCAGGATTTAAGCCTTGTAAGCAAGCTCCGCGACGAATCTCACCAGAACTAATGCCTCAAATTAAGGAAGAAATTGAGAAGCTCTTGAAAGCCGGATTCATCCGATCTTGCAGATATGCAGAATGGTTGGCCAACATAGTTCCGGTAACAAAGAAGAATGGTAAGGTCAGGATCTGCATCGATTTTAGGGATCTAAATTTAGCCACTCCTAAAGACGAATACGTTATGCCAGTGGCCGATATGCTGATTGATTCGGCAGCGGGTCACCATATTCTTAGCCTGATGGATGGATACGCAGGTTATAATCAAATCTTCCTGGCCGAAGAAGATATCCATAAAACAGCCTTTAGATGTCCCGGAGCTCTTGGGATTTACGAATGGACCGTAATGCCATTCGGATTAAAGAATGCAGGGGCTACTTATCAGAGGGCTATGAATGCTATTTTCCATGATCTGATAGGTAACTCCATGGAAGTCTATATTGACGACGTTATCGTTAAGTCAACCGACTTTGAATCACACTTGACCGATCTCGAGCAAGCGTTCATTCGAATGCAGAGGTACAATCTCAAGATGAACCCGATGAAGTGTGCTTTTGGGGTCTCGGCTGGAAGTTTTTTGGGTTTTCTGGTCCACCAGAAGGGAATTGAGGTCGATGCCAACAAAGCTAAAGCCGTGTTGGCTATTCGCCCCCCTAAAACCATCAAGGAAGTTCAGAGCATGCTCGGTAAGGTAAATTATTTAAGGAGATTCATAGCCCACGCGGCGGGTAAAATGAAGCCTATCACTAAGCTTTTGAAGGCCAGCTTTACTTAGATAGGGCTTCGATTGGGGGAAAGAGCAACAAGAAGCTTTAGATGCAATTAAACAAGCTCTTGCGAATCCACCAGTTTTGGTGCCACCCAGGCTCGGTCGGCCACTCAAGCTTTACCTGGCATGTACATACGATACGGTGAGCTGTTTTCTGGCGCAGGACTGGGACGACGGCAAAGAAAGGGCAGTGTTCTACCTCAGTAAGACGTTAATCGGACCCGAACTCAATTATACTATGCCTGAGAAGATGTGTTACTCGCTGGTCTACGCGTGTACCAAATTGGAGCATTATCTTTTGCCAAGAGAGACTGAGGTAATTGCCAAATTTGATATTGTTAAGTTAATTCTTCAGAGGCCTAACATGCAGGGAAGACTAATGAAATGGGCAATTAAGTTAGCCCCTTTTACGCTATCATACAAACCCCTGAAAGCGGTCAAAGGCCAGGCTGTGGCCGATTTTTTGGCAGAGTTTTCCCAAACGGATGGCATAAATTCTGGTCACGAATCCCTAGTTAGTGTCAGACCTTGGGTTATGTATTTCGATGGGTCTAGCACGAGGGAGCGTTCGGGAGCCGGGGTGTTCCTGGAAGGCCCAGGGGCCAAGCGGATCAAGCTTTATTTACAACTGGAAGCCATGACTCATAATTCTGCAGAGTATGAGGCGTTAATTTTAGGTTTGGAGGCACTTGTAAAGAGAGGAGTTCAGTCAGTAGTTATAAGAGGGGACTCTTTTATACCTGCTAACTCCTAAGGCAATTAATATAGCGCCTTGTTTTTGGCAGGAAGAGTTCCAGCCTTTGTTGCCCCCCTTTAGAGATAGAGTGAGTCTACTTAGCGAACTGGCAGGACGCAGAGATCAATTGATCAATATGAATCTCGAGAGTGGATGGTTGATCGCCGCCTCCTTGTCCTGGGGGCTCTCCGGCCGGGGAGGGACTTGCTATCGTAACCTTTTCTCCCGGTCGGTGTATGTGAAAAAGAGTGACGAACTCCTTTTTTTTGGTCCAAAGAACGAGAGTTGGCTTCCTTAAGTCCGTTGTTCCTCAGTAGCTCAGTGGTAGAGCGGTCGGCTGTTAACCGATTGGTCGTAGGTTCGAATCCTACTTGGGGAGAATTTGGATCGCTTTTCTGACTCTGACCTAGCGACCCCTGCCCTTCTCCAACGTTTCTAAACTAGCATAATCGTGGGACATCAAAAGTGGGAAGTGGATTGTTGGTTTTTCTTCCTCACTCTCGTATAGGTTAACTTGGTTCATTCCATTCTTAGGGATAAGAAGGATTCACTGGGAAGACTTACGTACTATCTTCATTAGCCGGAAGGAATTAGTCGGAACTAGTGTCATTCGAAGAACGAACAAGAAAAGGCTTACCTTACTGTTTAGGTAGGATAGATGGATGTGGCTTTTTCGACTTTTCTCCATAAAGCTAAAGCTCGGCCAGCTTCTTGTAGACTGAACTTGATTCTCTTTAAGCTCCGAGTTCTTTTTGGGTGGGATGGTAACATTTTTCTTCGCCACTAGTGGCAACGAAGTTCTTGGTAATTAGCAAGGGGGAAGGAAGATCTCCACTCATTTCATTCATTCAGTGCCTGCGGTGAGGCGCGACCCACAAGCTTAGAAGGGGGGCTAGGGAAGGCCGACGACTATATCTATATGAGGGGGAAGCTCTCGTAGAAGCTTTAGCCCTTGCTTTACAGAAATTGTTATGAACTGACTAAATGACTAGATTCTCCCGGAACGCTAGCTAAGCGAATCGTTTTAGTTCCCTTCAATTAAATCGTTAAGCTTTTTGATTGACTTGTTTGATAAAGGCGCCGCCCCCCTTCAACGAATTAGAACCCATTGAGGGGGGCCTCGGCCGGGGAAGGGGAGAGTGGCCGAGTGGTCAAAAGCGACAGACTGTAAATCTGTTGAAGTTTTTCTACGTAGGTTCGAATCCTGCCTCTCCCACTTCTTTGTTGTAGACTTCAGAGAAGAGAAAAGAGGCATTCTAAAGCTCCGGAAGGCCGACGACTATATCTATATGAGGGTGAAGCTCTTTCTTTTTTTTGGCCGTGCCGTGAAGTGAAATTGTATCGTATGTTAGTTAGAGAGGTTGGCGAACTACGTAGATCTATAGATTCCCCATCTATATCCAATCCCAACGAGAATAGAAGCCAGTCGCTTCCGGCTTGTCTTTCCGTCGTAGTCTTTTAGCTTATGTAGTCTAAGGCCTTCCTACACGCATGCGTCCGCCAGAATGCCTCCTTGGTTCGGGACGAAGCCAAGCCGATACATACGATAGGCGAAGGAAAGACCCCCATTTCATAGCGCCTGGGGGACGCAAGTTTGATCGAGGATTTACGAGAGGAGAGGTGGAAGAAAAGGCTCGGGATGGATTGTTGAGTCTTTGTGCGAGCCGTATGCGGTGAGAATCGCACGTACGGTAACGAGGGGGGTTCGCGTCTATACGTGTAGTGTGGTGCTTGGGCCTACCCACCCTATTTGTTCCATGATCTATGGGTCTACTGGAGCTACCCACTTCGATCAATTAGCCAAGATTTTGACCGGATACGAAATCACTGGTGCTCGATCTAGTGGTATTTTTATGGGGATTCTATTTATCGCTGTAGGATTCCTATTCAAGATCACTGCAGTTCCTTTTCGGGCGGCTGTAGGACGGACGGCCGCCTATAGGTGGTAGGGTAGGGTGGGTGGTACCGCTCAGATTGCGGCCAATCTTCCTAGCCGCTTAGGGCCGGGCTTAGAGCGCGTGAAACTCATCACTACCTCGTAAGGGCGTTGAGACCATAGCATGTTAGACGAAAGCGCCGCTTTCTCTGTAGTCTTGTCACACAGCTGCCCGCCTAGAAGAGCCGCTTTCTCTGTAGTCTTGTCACACAAGATAAGCACTTAGCCCGCCTTATTTAGAAAGGCCGGGCGAATCGAAGTTATCTTCCGGTCAACTGTCCACCCAGTCAAGTGCAAAAAACACAGTAGAATCACGCAACGCACGCTGCTGGTGTGCTTCCTGCTCGCAAGGAAAGAAGAGCGACAAGGTTCAGTTCAGATTTGACTGTTTGCAGCATGGGAGCAGATTACCCAAAAAATCCCTGGGAACAATGAAAAAAAAAGATATCTCGGTAACGAAAACGTTAGGGGGCTGTATTGGCGAGATCCAACGGTGAACAGCTGCCCAAAAGAAAAACCGCCTGGAAGTCCGAGGACCTTTAGTACTGTACTCTACCCCCGAACCAGCAGCCTTCGCGCCAAGCAAGACCGCCCTTGTCCCTTTCCTTTCTCCATTCCGCCTCCTTCTTTGCTTTGTTCCAATAGAGTCTAAGGCAAAGTGGTTCGTATGCCTACTTTACCTACTTTTAGAAAGGGAACGAACTTTCTTTCGTTTCCGTGTTTATGGATTGGATCCTTTCTGCCAACGAAATGAACGCGGAGCCCGTTCCGAATGCTATTTTATTTATTATTCCTGATCCGGAAGTTCTCGCGAAGAGAATAAGATGCTGCTCCCCCTCCCATATCATAAGAAAGGCTTTTCCCGCTTTGCTAATCTTCCCCTATAACGCGGGCCGGGCTAGGGCGCGGGAGGAAGAAACCTAAGAGACTAAGAGAAGACGCTCAACTCTTAGGTCCTTTTTTTCAGTGCAACGCAGGAAAGCGCCCTCTTTTTGTCATCCCTTGGCCTATTGGGATAGCTCGGGCTTTGCCTGCCCTTTACAAGATTCCGGCTCGGCCCGGGAAAGCGCTGGCAACAACAGAAAGGAAGGGGTCCATGTAGCTGCTGCGCCCGCCCCCTTCTTAGTCAATGGGGCACAGCAGGTTCGGCGTCTACTACAAAAGAGAGAATCCACTGAAGAGAACCACGCCTCTGCTAGGCAGCGTGTGGAATGGCCGAGAGCGGACCTTTTTGGATATATAATCCAAGTCGAGAGTAGAGTTACGGGAACAGCCGTCTGATGGAAAACGACTTTCACGCTCGGTTCAGAGAGCACTTTTTTCGTTGAGAATTCCTCGTTCCCTTTCGTGTGAATTCCCCAGTGGCGAATTCGAAACTTGTGGGGCCCTATCTATTCCATCTCTCGAGCCCCGAAGAAAACCCCCCGTACCTTCGGACTCAATATCTCTTTTGACTCTATATATGTGGGCACCTGATATCTATGAGGGTTCACCCACCCCGGTTACAGCATTCCTTTCTATTGCGCCTAAAATCTCTATTTCTGCTAATATTTCACGTCTTTCTATTTATGGTTCTTATTACGCTACATTGCAACAAATCTTCTTTTTCTGCAGCATTGCTTCTATGATCTTAGGAGCACTGGCCGCCATGGCCCAAACGAAAGTCAAAAGACTTCTAGCTCATAGTTCAATTGGACATGTAGGTTATATTCGTACTGGTTTCTCATGTGGAACCATAGAAGGAATTCAATCACTACTAATTGGTATCTTTATTTATGCATCAATGACGATAGATGCATTCGCCATAGTTTCAGCATTACGGCAAACCCGTGTCAAATATATAGCGGATTTGGGCGCTCTAGCCAAAACGAATCCTATTTTGGCTATTACCTTCTCCATTACTATGTTCTCATACGCAGGAATACCCCCGTTAGCCGGCTTTTGTAGCAAATTCTATTTGTTTTTCGCCGCTTTGGGTTGTGGGGCTTACTTCCTAGCCCCAGTGGGAGTAGTGACTAGCGTTATAGGTCGTTGGGCGGCCGGAAGGTTGCCACGAGTAAGTCAGTTTGGGGGGCCGAAGGCAGTTCTCCGTGCACCGGACACGTAGCTTACCGAATCAGTTGCGACACGGATGGGAATGCATGCTACGAAAGATAGGGTCGCATCAACCGTCTACTCAATATCCTTGTACGAGTCCACAATCACTACACGAGATGAACCTTGGTTTGGTGAATTTCAGTTGGCCTTAAGTGTAATAGGACGTACAGTTACTGCGCGCGATCGTATACTGAGGTGCTCCCCGCCGGTTGTTGGAACGACGCGAGCCGGGCCGGGTCTCGATTCAGAAAGATGAAGGGCCCGAAAGTCTAAATAGGGGGTGGAAAATTCCCCATCTCATTGGGGGCGGAAAACGAATCGACATCTCGAGGTTTATAACCTACCGAATCTATTTGAGTTGGGAAAGAACGGCGAAGTCCATCCGAACCGTCCAATGAAGAATAAGAGGAGAGCAAAGCGCCAATTGCGCGCGAAGCGCATGCGGAACGGGCACGGAGAAAAAGAAGTGTGGAGGAGAAGCAGCCGAGCTCATTCCCTTCGCTTCCTGGGCCCAAAGCAGCCTCCCTCAAAACAATGCTCCTCGCCAAATCAAGGATTTGGGGCTTCTTGCTACGCTACTTAATCAATCCATTTTATTTAGTAATATATTCATCGAAAGATAGATCCATCCATCTATCCTATCCGATTTCGATTTTGATATCTAAAAAAGAATCGATTTCATGAAACCTTTGATTCAAAGAACTGTGCTTAGCCCCCCTGCTCAAACTATTAAAAGGGCTCCGCTGCAATGGATGGCAGAGGGTCCGTAGTACCCGAAGCACTTCTGTAATCCAGTAGCCGGGAAGGGGCCTAGAAGTGCCTACTACTACACCACACTACACTTGGCTCTACACATTTACAAAGCGAACCCCTGTCCAGTGCCTGGCAGAGCTAAGGGGGCTTCAACCCTTACTCTTTATCCCCATCTTCGCCCAGGCTAAACGGGGCCTTACTTATGATGGGAGGAGATTTCCGCCTCGAAAAGCACTGTTGAGAGGAAGATCCTTGGCCCCTCTTCATTCTCTACAGGGTTCCAAACCCAACATAGGTGACAACGAGCGAGGCAGAGATGGAAGAGATCAAACACGGGAATAAGAATCAGAAATTCCTTTTTGATCATTTTGATAGAGGGGGATGGAGAAAGTGGACAAAACAGACTCGCATTTCTCATCGAAGAAATAGAACATAAGAATCCTATTGAAAACTTTCCTAACCCACCTTCGTAGAGCCATGTATTGTAAGTGATCCGAACCTGCCCGGAGCGCGCCGGACATAGAGGCAAGTGAAGTTGGTGAGCCGTATGATGGGCAACTATCTCCTGCGGTTCGGAGAGGACTCAGCTGTTAGTTAGTATCCCCTTGCTTTCGGGGTGGACCCTTTCACTCTATTTTATTATATACGCTTAGCGAAAAGAATGTTTTTTGATACACCTAGGACATGGATTCTATATGAACCAATGGATCGTGACAAGTCCTTACTACTAGCAATGACTTCCTCTTTCATTACTTCATTCTTTCCATATCCCTCTCCTTTGTTCTCAGTTACTCATCAAATGGCACTCAGTTCATATCTTTAAGTTCGATCATTCACAAGGTTTAAAGAAAGGGTTTTCCTTCTCTATTTCATCTTCATAATTACAGCGTTCATTACTAATTCTTTTAGGTTTTTTTATTGAACTACAACGATCTGATCCCCTTGTTCCGTTTGTTTGTCTTTCATTGGGGTATGTAGGCGTCCAACTGTTCATAGGTTGGGTTCGATCCCTTTTGATTTGGATTCTTTTTTTTATTATTTATTTCCCTTCCTTCTCTGGTAAAGTTGGCCATGACATATCGCATCGCAGCTAATCTCTTTTCCTCACAACTGCTATATCGTATTTTGCCCATTGGCTTCTTCTAACAGAGTCTCCATGAGGACTCAACGAAAAGGTATTTCATTTCTAATGGTAAGACCGCCGTAATTCCATACACTATTGAGTACCGGGTAGCCCCGGTTGAAGTTCTTTCAGTTACTAATTGATCTCTTCCAACTCGCTGTAACAGCAGACTGATGAATTGAATTCCTCGTTCTATCATATGGACAAGACGAAAAACTGAAAGCTATCGCCGTCAGTGCATCAAGGCGTGTGATGGTGTCAACCCGCTTCAGAGGCCTTCGGTAAAGCAGCGAAAGTCACATTCACGCGCACCCCTGTGTCTTACGCACAAACTGGGCATGGTGATGGGAGCTAGGTTCAAGGTACAGAAAAAGATAGCCCCTTCCTACTTTCTTTCTTTCTTTGGTGCCAAAGACATATCTGCTAGAACGAGTGCTAGTTAACCGACTCCTGGTCGATATGAGGAAGACAACTATTCTTCTGGTAAAGTGGACGAGAGGAGCGAGTCTCTATCTAACTACTCTAACCAGGGGGGATGATAGGTGACAGGCCAAGAGGAAGGCTAGCCCGGACGAAGGCGCGACGGATATGTTATCCGCCAATGCATCTTCTTGCTACCCCATTTTTTGACAATAGCGATGCCGAGAATTTGACCTTGGTCACAGACAACTATCAGTTATTTGCTTGTTTCCATGTAAACTGTAAACTCACAGAATAGCCTTCGTACTTGATTTGAATGAACCTCTCTTTTTTTCAACAAATTGAAATGGATGGTGAGCTCTATTCCAAGTGAGAAGACTTCCGTAGGTCGCTTTCCACTTCCGAATACTAAAGAGCGATTGAGAGAAGAGCGGTACGTGGTGGTTATTATAGCGGGTGGAGACAAATACTCTGGAACTCGTTCCTGTCTCTTTTTCTTATTATTTGATTCTTGGGCCTATGGTAGTATCCTACTAGATGGTGATAGACTTTTTCAGCAGAGGATTTCATTCTTTCTCTAAAGCTTTCCTTTGGCCCTTTAGGGCTTGACTTTGCCAATCTCCTTTGTGAACATGTTATGAGTTGCCCTCTCATGAGACCTGACTTATCCTCATAAGGGTATCACAATGAGTAGGTTACTTGGAGTTGATTTTGACGGATCACAATTTACTTGGACTAATAGTCGTGTCTGGCAACGGTTGGATCGTGCATTAATTAATGCAGAGTGGTCAGAGGTATATTCTCGCACACATGTCTCACATCTCTTCAGGGGGCTCCGTTCAAGTTTCTCAATGTGTGAGCTCAACACTCGGATTTTTCTCAAGGTTGTTCAGGAGACGTGGCATTTTTCGGTTTCTGGAAGAGGTATGGTGGCTTTTTTCAATAAACTTATGGCTCTTCGAAAAGGCCTTCGTCTTTGGAATTCCTTATGCTTCGGAAATCTTTATATGCCGCGGGCGGTTGAATCCGTTGGTTGCCCATTTTCTGAAACCCCCCAATGTTAGTCGGAAACAAAAGGAGCTACTAAGTGAGGAAGCCCGATTTCGAGAGGACTAAAGAGCACTAACTCGGAGATAAATCATTCAATAGCGGAACAGAATCGGGTTCATAGAATGGATCAGTTGCCCCCAAAAAGAAGGGCCTAAACGGAACTAAGGTTCTTATGAGCGCAGCATTTGATCTAAGCAGCTTGAAATTCAAGGTAAGCAAAAAAGGGGAGGGCACTGGCACTGTGTTATGACGGGTGCTAGGATGCCGCTTGCTTTTGCGAGGCAGTGTATTGAGGCGATTTGATACTTCCTTCTTCTATTTCGATTGTGCTCTAAGGATCATATAACATTGATCAACTGGTAGAGTATGAAAGAAAATCTCTTCCATGCTCCTTATGTGGGTTGTTTGGACATGCTGCAGTTCTTTTCCCTCAGCGCAAGAAGAAAGAGGTTTCGAATGATGATTGGCATCAAGTTGAGGAAGGGTATGGTAGACTAAATCTCAGAAGGCCTTGATCCTGGACTGGAATAGATGTTCATGAGCATTTTCGAGAGTGGGCTTCCCTGTGGTACTCCAGTCGTCTGAGAAGCATAGTTCAAGTCTTGTCTATCTAAGATGTAGGTCGGAAGCTATCAAGAAGGCTGCATTTCCTTGACTATGAGGATGGAATGGACTATGTTGGCATCCAACAACGTCTGCAAAGATTCTCTGGAGAGAAGTTGACAAGGATTAGCATTGCAGTCTCTCTAGTGGTTGTCTTCCTCTTGTACGCTCCTAGGCGATGAAGCTAGTTCTAGAGTTGCTTGCTCTTTCTAGCTCTCTCCGAGTCTGCTAGTGGATTCCGAAAACGCTTGCTTCTATTCCTAGTAGCGGTTGTTCCTCCGCTTTCGGATTCGAGTTAGGAAGTCAGCTTTCCGATTGGCTATCCGTACCTATCACTCGTACGAGAGTTCCTCTCTCGATTTAGCGATTCGTTAAACTACCACGTTAGCAACCTCCGGATCTTAAGGTATGTTGGAAGAATAGCATCTATGTAAAGAAAGAGAAGCTGCTCTCCTGCTGCCTTGTTGCCTTGAAGGAAGGATACGAACAGGGGGGAGTGAAGATCTTGGGAAAGAGGAAATACACTGCTTTATCGATTCACTGTCATAATGGGAAAGATCCACTACACTGGCCCAGAAGGAGGCCAGCTAAGCTCAAAGGCTTCCTGGTAGGGAAGAGTCAGTCCAGTCAGAATAGGAGAAAGAGTTGTCCCCCGATCGCTCATCGTCTTGAACTGAATCAAGCTGAAGCAACAGACACTTGACCAGCGAGGTTCAATCGACTTTCATTGACCTGAACTCATCAAAGTCAGCATTGGATGAACGTCCGGTTGACGGGGCCTAGGTTTGATAAAGAGAAATCGCAGGATAAACCGTGGGGAGATTAGTGAAGCTAACGATCGATAAAAGAAAAAACAATTCCCAAGCACAACAATAGCAATAGCTGCAGCTTGAAAAGCGAAGGTAGTTCTTGGGACCTTCACATTCACAAGAGATCAATGGGTCCTGTTCTAGTTCGTTTTCTCATCTGCTGTGACCTCCCTTCTCCCTTTTTCTGGGAGCCCATGAAGAGGGCGAAGTCTCATGTTTGTTTGGCTAAGCTGGCAGGCCTATCCTACTTCTTGTCCCGCATCGTTCATTCCTTTTTCGATGGGTAAGCAAGAACTTATGCTTATCCATATGCAGGTACCCGCGCATATTCGGATTTCGACCTAGTGTCACTGATTTGATGTCAAGTTTATTCGTATTAATAAGTCTTCCCATTTCTTATTATCAGGCATGGAATATAGCATCTTCCTTGGATGCTTGAAAGCAAAAGCACCTCCTAGCGCCGGTTGATCCTCATTTGATCGCGGAAACGTGGGTTTTGGGCCATATTCTAGCCCCTTTCTTTGGCGCCGGTGGAGTGGTTACAGCAGGAGCAAGGGTATGCTACGGCCAATCCCTTCGGTCCGGTTCCTCGGTGCGGTCAGGGCAGTAGGGTAGGTAAGGTAAGTCGCTTTCCATCCGTTACCGGTTCTGTTCTCTTGCCCTGAAGCGGCTAACTTCACATACATGATTTGTAGCATCAACAGCATTCTTGCATCAAAAAAACTCTTTCTTTGAAAGAAAGGCTAGCTTGATATGAGACATGATGGAGTCAGCATTGATATCGAATAGGCTTGAAAGCATGTTCACAGCTTAAGCCAAAGAGGACTTGGAATATAGCAACTGCTACTCTCGGGAGCAATAGCAATAGAAAGAGAATGAGTCTAGGAATTCGCTTACATCTTTCAGTGAATACCCTTGTGATAGCTCTACAACTCGCTTTTTTATGCTCGCTTCTTCCGGTCTTTTTTATCTGTCTATAGGTCGGCAGTGTGTGTATATTCCTTTCTCCACATTCTTTTCTCGATGGGCGCGGTCTAGGTATGTAGGATCTTGGTCCAGGCGAAGGAGTTGTTCGGGTTTCGAAGGATAGCACATCAGTTTCTGATCCTGGGCAATTCACATAGCGCCTTCCTTTCGATAGACTTCCTAAACTAAAGGAGGATCTAGCTGTGGATGATGTCACAGCTGGAGAGTCAACCTTTGAATATTAATGCCTGCCTTATTCTAGACTGAAGAAGATAGATTTCAAGAATTCTTTCCGTTCTTTCTTTCCTTTGTAAACTCAGTGTAGTTGTCTTGTTAAACACAATCAACGCATTAAAGTGTATGAGTATCAATTGTTTTCAACTGGGAAATGAGCTAAGGCTAAGCTACGCCAGAATCCCTTGTATGTTCATTAGAAAGCGTGAGGGAAAGGCACACATGCACGATGATCGATTGCATACCGACGATGCTTGAGAAATGGGTGGAAAATTCCCAGTGGAAAAGGCAGTGGAAGGATCGGCTGAAGCCGGAGTAGTGTCAGTCGAGTAATCTGACCAAGGGGAGTAGGACCGATCAATAATCACCCGTAATAGGCGCAGCGGCTGGCTTTCCTTTTGAAGCAGTTTTCGGAGTTGAAAGAAGGCAA